ATACCCATATACACATATACACTGAGAAACATAAATAAACACATGTCCCCCAAGTCACACATTATATCTTGTCCTGTGCTATCCAGACCATCTCACTTATAAAGATCTGTCCCAAATCCATCTATTGATTCCACAGCCTACTGAAAGGTGATGAAGATTCATCTATGACATGAAATCCTCTTCCAGGCCAGACTATGATGAATCTTGAGAGATGGTATCACCTATGCCTCTGCATACTGACACTCCATCATCAATGGAATCAAATCGAAGACCCGAATCTTAATCCACACACCCATGAACAACAACAACAAAAAAGCTAAAATTATACAATGGAACAAAGAAAGCATCTTTGACAAATGGTACTGGCATAACTAGATTCAGCATGTAGAATAATGAAAATAGACCCATATCTATCTCCATACCCAAAACTCAAGTCCAAACAGATTAAAGACTTCAATATAAATCTGACTACACTGAACCTGATAGAAGAGAAAGTGGGAAGCAGCCTTCAATGCATGAACACAGGAGACCACTTCCTAAATATAATCCCAGTAGCACATACACTGATAGCAGTAATAAATAAATGGGACCTCCTGAAACTGAGAGGCTTCTGTAAAGCAAAGGACACAGTCGATAAGACAAGAAGACAGCCTACTAAATGGGAAAAGATCTTCACCAACCCCACATCAGACAAAAGACTGATCTCCAAAATATATAAAGAACTCAAGAAATTAGACATCAAAACTCCAAATAACCCAATTAAGAAATGGGGTACTGAACTAAACAGAGAACTCTCAACAGAAGAATCTCAAATCTCCAAAAGACACTTAAGGAAGTGTTCAACATCCTTAGCTGATGGAGGAAGATCATTGGCTAATAAAGAAACTGCCTTGGCCCATTTTATTGGTTAGAACATAGGTGGGTGGAGTAAACAGAACAGAATGCTGGGAGGAAGAGGAAGTGAGCTCAGACTCGACAGCTCTGCTCTCTGGAGCAGAGGCCATGCTCCCCTCTCCCAGGCACACGCGATGAAGCTCCGACCCAGGATGGACGTAGGCTAGAATCTTCCTGGTAAGCACACCTTGGGATGCTACACATATTATTAGAAATGGGCTAGTCCAGGTGCGAGAGTTAGCCAAGAAGAGGCTAGATATAATGGGCCAAGCAGTGTTTAAATGAATACAGTTTGTATGTTGTTATTTTGGGTAAAGCTAGCCAGTGGCGGGAGCTGGGTGGCAGAATGCAACCCGCAGCTCCCTACTACACTTAGCCATCAGAGAAATGCAAATCAAAACAATTCTGAGATACCATCTTTCACCTGGTGGGTGGAATAGGGAGAGTGGATGAGGAAGAGGAGGAGAGAGGTGAAGGAATGAGAACAACTTGAGGGAACAGGACAGTCGTGATGGATGAAGGACAGAGATGAGAGCAAGGAAAGAGATATCCTGATTGAGGGAGCCAATATGGGGTTAGCAAGAAACCTGGCTCTAGAGAAATTCCCAGGAATCCACAAGGATGACCCCAGCCAAGACCCTAAGCAATAGAGGAGAGGGTACCTAGACTGGCCTTGCCTTGTAGACAGACTGATGAATATCTTGAATATCATCATAGACCCTTCATCCAGCAACTGATGGAAACAGAGGCAGAGACCCACATCAGAGCACTGGGCTAAGCTTCCAAAGTCCAGCTGAAAAGTGGGAAGAATGAGAATATGAGCAAGAGTTCAAGACCATGATGGGTTCACCCACAGAAATAGTCTACCTGAGGTAACAGGAGTTCACCAACACTAACTGGACTAAGAAGGAACAAGCATAGGATCAAACTAGTCCCTCTGAATGTGGGTGACAGTTGCGTGACTGAGGAAGACAGCAGGGCCACTGGCAGTGGCACCAGGTTTTATCCCTATTCCTTGCACTGGCTTTCTGGGAACCTAGTCTCTTTGGTTGATACCTTGCTCAGCCTAGATATAGTAGGGAGGCCTTGGACCTTCCACAAATCAATGAGCCTTACCCTCTCTGAGGAGTGGATATGGGGGTGAGGTGGGAGGGAAAGTGAAGTGAATGGGAGAAGGGGGGAGTGGAAACTTGGATTGGTTTGTACAATGAAAACAGTTTGTTTTCTTTTTCGAAAAAATAAATAAATGAGATTTCCATTAAAAAAAAACACTAGCCATACCCCTTTCTCATTTTATGCTTTTATTTTTCTTGTTTATATATTTATTCTTGTGACTACCTGAATGACTTAATTTATAAGCTACCTATCTGTCAGCATGGGAAACCTACAAGGCATCATTCTTTACCTCATCTATTGTCCACAAGACAATTAATGTTCACTCATCAATCACCACCTACATTTCCATCACCATTTACATTGGAGGATCTGTAGTTTGCATTCTGTGAACCATGTGTGGATGTTTGCACTTTCTCCTTTCATCTTTTGCTTTTGACCATTTTGTGATGAAGGAAACCGTAACTGGAGGTTTTCTTTCCCACCCACCAGTTACCAAATAACCACTCTAAGGCTTAATATTCATTACAAACTGTTTGGCTGATGGCTCAGGGTTATTTCTAACTAGCTTTTACATCTTAAATTAAACCATTTCTATTAATCTATGTTCTGACATATGGTGTGTTACCTCACATCTTGCTTCCCCGGCAGCTGCTGGTGTCTCCCTGATTTCATCCTTTTTCTCCCTGTTTCTTTGCTTGGATTTCCCTCCTGGCTCTATTCTGCCTGGCTGTTGTCCAAATCAGATTCTTTATTAACTAATGGTAATACAACATATTCACAGTATACTGAAGGACATCCCATATCAGGAAACTAAGAGCTGTACATCAATTTTCTTTCTTGATGCTGAAATAAAAGCAACTTAAGGGGAAAGGGATTTATTTGGATCACACATCCAGATTATAATCCATCATTGCAAAAAGTCCCAGGAGATGAAAGCAGCTGGACCATCAAAGTCAAGATCAAGGCATAACAGATGCATCCTGCACTCAGTTTGCTTTCTCTACTCTTATATAATCCAAGATGCCCTGCCCAGTAAATGGTGTCACTTACAGTAGGCATGTCTTTCCACTTCCACCATGTTGCTCAAGACAATCCCCATAGACATTTCCTTAGGCCAACCTAATCTGGACCATCTGATTTTAGTTTTCCCTTCCCAAGTAATGCTAAATTTGGTAAAATTGACAAAAATGAACCATTAAAACTAGCTCTAATTAAGATTAAATTGACAACAGAAGAAAACTCACACATTGCACATCACTAGACACCTTGTGTTATGAACACTCTGCATAGGTGTCTAGAGGCAGGCATTCCAACCAAACTCTGCATGGAGAGTGTGATGGTTAATTTTCATTGTCAACTAAATCGGATTTAGAAACACCTAGGAGACACACCTCTGGGCATGTCTGTGAGTATTTTTCCAAAGTGTAAACTGAGGAGGAGAGATCAACTTTGAATGTGGTACCATCAATAGGGTGGGGTCCCAGGCAGAATACTATGGGTATAAAGAGGAAGTAACCTGAGGACATTTCTTGATCTGCTTTACTTAGATGCCCTGTGATCAGCCATGACTTCCTGCCATGATGACCCTTCAAATTGTGGGCCACCCTTCTTTAAGTAGATGTTCTTTAGTATTTTAATCAAGTGATGAGAAAATTAATAAATATAGAGAGCAATGACTTCTGTGATTTTCACTTCCACATGTTTATACTCACTGAAAAAAAAAGTTCACACAACATAACACAAACACCAAGGGTTTCCTTTTGAGAAGAGATGAGGTTTCTTAGGTTTGCTGGGGAATGTGGATGGAGGCCTAACCAAGATCTTTTGGCCACCAATATTTTGTTTTGAATAATCTGTTTAAAAAAATAATGGTAAGGGGAGTCTTGTTTGAGAGACACAGAACATCTACCAGAAGAATCTGGGGGAGACTTACAGGAATGTCTTAGGGTTTTGTTTGTTTGTTTGTTTGTTTGTTTACTTTTCTGTAGTTCTGAGTTTCTGCATTTTGCTCAGGACCCCTCAAAGTTATGTTTAAATTTAACAGATTCATACTGCCAAGGCTAGTTTTAGAATTAGTCAGCCAGTTTTAGCCTAAGGCTGAAATGAACGAATAAATGAATGCATGCATTGATGTGTTTGCTGGAGACTCTAATGGTGTCCAAACAAACTGTTTCCATAGCAGATTCATGTTCCTTTCTGTCCCGCTCACTTTCATCACCTAAGAGCAAACACTAAATGTCACTGGAGTTTGCATACAGAATAAACCCTGTGGAGGAAACAGGACTATATATACAAAGAAGATAGATTTCTGCATCAGTCTTAAGCAACTTGAAAATTCCCCCAGCCTCTTCTGGTAGACGTGCTGTGGTCTCTCAAACGTGATTCCTCTTGCCATTATTTTTTGATCAGATTATACAAAACAAAATGTTGGTGTCCAAAAGATCGTGGTGAGGTCTTTACCCATCATCCTTGAGAACCTGAGAAACCTCATCTCTCATCAGCACTCACACTTTCTTGATACTTTTCAATTCTTTCTGGAAGAAGGCAATCGTAGAAAGGCAACACTCCTTCTGATTAGAGATCTTGGGCTTAGTTATTATGGTAAATATATGTTTTAGCTACAGCATCATTGGGCTTTTCTGACATTGCATGTAGCCCTACCACCTGCTTCTATTCATTTTGCAGAGGACTGAGCACAGATGTCTGCAGAGATCTAGGGAGTCTGGATTTTTCTCTATAGAACATAATGGCATTCAACAAAAGAAACCTTTGGCTATCGACCTTCCCTGCCACCTGCAGCTTCTGCATCCCCAGTGTGTATACTTCCTTTGCCTGCACAGGATTGTAGACAGTGTGTGCAGAAGGGAGCAGAGTGTCTGTTTTCACAGCAAGAGATGAAAGGAAAGAGAAGTGGGAACAAAGCAAGAGAGCTGAATGCCTTGGGGTGGCCACTTTAACAGGGTGAAGCGGGTGTGCGATTTATTACTTACAGGTTTTCCTGAAAGGTCAAGACTGCAAGTTTTTGGTGCTCCATATAAAAGAAAGCTTCAGAAAACCTTCGGACCTGAGGGATGACAATGTAAACAGCTTAATTCCTCAAGTGGATGTGACCTCCATTTTCTCAGCTTGAGAGTCTGGAGATTAAGGGTTGTGTTTTAATGGAAAGAAATACAACAGAGGTCTGAAAGAAGAAGCTTTCCACCCTCCACAGCTGCCCACATGTCTTTACAGCTCTTAGCCCAGGCAGTGTGGTGTATCTTTATTAAACTCATCCATGTTCTGCTTTCATTTTTATATTCAAGTTTTATTCTTTCTACTAGAATACTAGATTTTTTTCAAATGGGCATTAGAAATAAATGCACGACATGGAGAATTGCAAAGCCAGCAGCATTTGCTAGGTGCTTTGTGGACTCTGATCCTCAGACACTTATTTCTCTCGCCCAGAGTGAGAAGATCCACATCACTCCATATATGAATACCTATGCATATATAGCCATGATGAGGGCAACACCTTACATTTGAAAGTACTTCTTCCTAAGTATATTGAGACTCTTGCAATAGTTAATTTTATAAGCTCAGCTATCATAAGACATAGATAAGGGAGATGTTTTATGAGTGGCAGAATAGGGCTGGATAGCTAAGTGAGCTTTTGACATCACAATGCTTACTCACAGTTGAGTGGGACCAGTGTTGAAATTGATAAATTGGCACAAAGCCAAGTCATGTTCCTTTCAATGAACCAACTTTTGCAAAACTTCACCTTAACTATAAATGCACGTAGCCACAGAGTTTAAAGAATTTTACAATTTACCCTCAAAGTGTGATGTTCCTGGGTGAGATAAGTGGTCACTTGGGAGTGCAGAGTCACTGTGTCCAGGAATTGGGTCCACAGAGCCATCAGGTGGGAGGCCAACCAGGCAAGATCCTTACTGATCTGCTCAGCTATCTTCTCTGGGTTGTTGAGCATCTGCAGGGGTAAAAGAGTGTCCGTCAAAGACTTAACTCTATTGTTTTGCTCCAGCCCTCCCCCTTGGGACCTTTACCAAATGTTCTTCTTTGCTATCCTTTACCTCGCATGCTGTAACAATGTGGTATTACTCACACTGTTATCTCATACTATATAATGTAGAATTGGGTTATCCTGTCCCTTTGAGTGTGGGAGTTAAGAGAGACAGCAATGAGAAGAATAAACTATTTGGCAGTTCTTGCTTATAGATTAACATTCCAAGCCCATGGTCTCATACAAGGTAGCCTGTAACTATCCCAAGCCTACATCTTCCTTCTTCACGCATGTTTTAAGTACGGGTTATTTCTAAATTTCCAGAAATGTCTTGTTTAGTATATTATGCTCCGTTTATAAATATTTGCCAGCCATTTTTGACTCTTTACCCTAAACTTCCAATCCAATCACTTCAGAACCCAGTTTTCCAAAATATTAGCATCTTAGACTGGGATTTTTTTTCAGCATGCACTAATACACCACAGGGGAATCAGCCATTGTATCCTCCCGTAGACCCACACATCCACAGCATAGAGTCTAGCGCTAGAATCTTCTCTGTATTTCATTAAACTCTGAACTCAGTGTTTTATAATCACAATGGCTCGATTTACTAATACTGATTATTTTGCAGGTAGAGGACCAGACATTTTATACATGCTTCACATTCAATCCATACAATCATCTTGTAGGTAGAGTAGTAAAACCATCCTTTCAAGGAAAGTAAAATAATAGTGATTTATTAGAATGTCCAATTTTCACCCAGCTAGGATTTAACTGACGAACTCTCTAACCACGATACCACATGTTCTATCTCACTAGGTATCTTGAAGTATCTCAGTAGATAAGGTACTCCTTATAATCCCAGAGTACTTAACTAGCCAGGTCACTAAATGCCATCATCTGCTTAACCATCACTTACCACTTCTAAAGGAAGACTCCAGGCTATCTTAACTACAATACAAGTCAGTCAGTTTGGAGAAGACTCTTTTGATGAGAATATGTTGGACAGGTGGCTGGTTTCTAATGGGGAGGACTATATTCTAAAGGAAAAACTTGAATTACCAGAAGGTGAGAAGATCAAATGCTCCTCTGAGGAGCAACAAGAAGCCTGCCCAGGTCTCATCAATCCACAACAATTAATGAGCATCCTCCTTGTCTTGCTAATGTGTCTGGAAAAAGCAGCACCTATGCTGAGTAAGAGAGGATCTCTGTAATGGCAGAGATAGGAATGCATACCAGCAAGGTGGTGCCAGGCTTTCACAAAGCCACACCATTCAAATCCAGTCTCTTTGCCTCCTTTGTCCTGTGCCCCAGTTTCCTTGCTGAAGGAACAAAGCAAACAGCTGTTTCCAGATGCAGTTTTGTGATTGTTATGGGACTGAGGTTTGATTCTGGATGAAAGCAGAGAAGGCAGAAGGAGGTATCTAAGAGTAAGAGAGCAGCAAAGAGATGTTTGCTGGACAGTGAGACTTCTAACACATGGAGATGCTTGCTTTATTATGAAAACCAGCTTTTAGATGCAAGACTCCAGTTAAACACAGCATCTTCTAAGAGGTGCATTCGCCTTTGATGACCATTGACATTGGTGGCTCAGTCCCATACAGCATCATGAAAGGTCAGAGACACAGGTGGAAGGGTTAGGGGAGTTGACCTCACGAACAGGTTACATCGCTGAGAAATTTCTAGACTGGAAAGTGGGGCTTGTGAATTCAAACCAAGCAGCTCATATTTGGATTCTTCTACCAGAATCTTCACTAATGACAGCCAATAAACTGCACCTACATTCAGCACTATTTTGCCCTTGGAAATAATCTCTGCCTTACCCAAGGTTACCATGCCTCTTATCCAATGCAAAATAATTATCCCAGCCATGATGAGCTACCTATAGCAGCATGCATAGATCTGTCTATTTGCAATACCAGACCATTGTTCAGGCAACATCCTCTATTTAAAATGCCTTGTCCTCTCACCTTCTGATTTCCTCCCCCATCCTCTTCATCACTTTGGTATGGTCTGTCATCAACGTGGGAATGACTTGGGGGTCAATTCTATTTTCCCTTACTTCTAATAGCACTATGCTATCCATCTCAGACTCTCTTTTATCTTGACCTCTTCTTGAACAGGTGTCCTTGACCATACAGACCTTCCTCATGATCCCTCTTACAAGTTTGGTTTGCTTTCTTGCCACTGTCTCAATTTGTCTGTATTGGGAGCTTGACCTCTAAGTATCCCTACTTCCAGCACAGTAGTAATGGATAATCTAAGCTCAGCAACCCTCTACTTTAGAAATATATGGATGAGCACCTTGAGAGATGCTCTGTGCCTTTAGCATGTTGCCCTGCCTTGCTTGGCTTCTGATTCTGCTCTCCAAATGTCCCACACCACCACAGTGCCACTGACAGACACAGCATGAACTCTGAGCTCAACTACCAGAGGTGCAAAGGGAAAAAAAGAAAGATATTCACTAAACGAGTCTTTGGGAGAATTGTTTCCTCCCTAGTTGATTATAGAAACATCTTCAGAGAAGGTTACAAAAGTTTCTAATTAAGCCATAGGAGGACTTTTCTGTCATCACTGACACATTGACCTGTGTAATTACACACAAGTGTAGGTGGTTTTCTGTAGCAGGTGGAGGAGAGGCCTTGCCTGCTAACAAGCCAGCAGTCTCAGGCCACTGCTAAATACACACAAAGATAAGTACACCTGGGAATAAACATTCCATTCCCTTATAACTACATGCTTAGCTATAATCATGTACTGTAAAAGGTATGTATTCTAGATGTCACATAAGAACCATGGAAACTTGCTGAAGAGGTGATACATTCTGCCTTCCAGGTGATCAGGCTTCTTCCTGCTTCCTGAATCAACCGGGATCTTTCAGATGCTTCTCCATGTCATCCGCATGCTACAACCACTGGAGGCTAAGGTCTATCCATGTGTCCACAGAGGACTACATCCATGCTAAAATCTCTGAGGTGCAGTCCAGATACTAGAACTTGTCAAATGCTTCATAGATGCGAATTTCATTTGTTAAATGTTTTATTCCCAGTTCGTACCAATGCTTTGAGAAGGGAGTGGGAACAATGGCTTCTGTGGTAGAACGCAGCTGGAGAAAACAGACCACCAGGAGCACTGGGGTTTCGTTTTGTCCCCAGGAGTTGCTGAAACACATGGTGTGTAAGAAGCCTACTGCATCTAATGGACAGATGAAAAGACATGATTACATGGCATTGTCATCCTTGCTAAGCCATCGGATCTTCCTTCTGTGGGTGACCAACACCATAAGAGCTTAAACAAGGTCAATGTCCAGACAGTGTGTATGAGATGTTCTATGATGCACGAAAAAGATGCACAAAGTCTCTGCCACACAGGGGCATGCAGGCACAAGAGATACTCAGAAACACAGCAACCCTGTGCTGCCCCGCTAGCCCCAGCAGCCTCTCTATAATGAGAGTTCATATGTACCTATGAAGAGCTACTGCTGGCCTCCCAAGGGATTGGCTAGACAAGAGAAGAAGAAATAACAACAACCACAGCAGGCATAGAGACCGAAGTCCTAAAGTCACTCTCAACTGAGTCCTTACCTCACCATTTCAAAATGCGGTGAATGATGTGTGTGTGTGTGTGTGTGTGTGTGTGTGTGTGTGTGTGTGGTCATTATGGGGTCCTAACCTAATATATTCTCTGCCTCTTTGAAATGAAGGTAATCTCCTCCATAGCAGGGACTTGAGAACTCCTCTTGCTCACCTGGCCCATCTAGACCAGGGCTTCCTTCAGATAATCGGCCTTCTAAAGGTTGCTTTCTGGTTGGGAGCAAGGTACTTTCAAACTCTCATCAACTGTCAATTTGGTGACATCACCTTGGGCACTAGCCTCTGAATATGCCCGACAGGGACAATCTTGATTCTGTAAATTGAGGTGAAAAGACACCCACCCACTGTGGGCAGCACCATTCCCTGGGCTAGGATCCTGGACTGTACAAAAGGAGACAGACAGTGAGCTCGTAACCACTGTCTATTGCCCTCTGCTTCTGTCGTGACTTCCCACAGTAATAACCAACCTCCTGAAGATGCAGACCAAAGTAAACACTTTCTCCTGAAAGTTGTTCTTGGTGGGATGATTTATTAGAGTAACAGGAAAACAGCCAAGACCTGCCTCTGACAAGAGGTCTGGCTGACACAGTCAAAACAAAACCCAAGTCTCATGTTCTTGCTGTGTCCTTTCTTTGGATATTTCCCAACGGAAAAGGGCAGCTCCAGGAACAACCACCAGATAATTGAGTAATTCCCAAAAGTTCATGGGGGTAAATAGCAGACAGTCTTTTTTATCTTTGAAAAAAAAAATCTTACATTGCTATAATAAAAAACAAACCTAAACTAAAGAGACTTACTTTCCAACGCTGCTCAACAAGTCCAAGGAGACCCTTTAGAGCCTTAGTAAGGGGCAAGCTACCCTGTTTGATTAATTTGTTAAAGGAAGACCCTCTGCATCTCCCTAGCATGGGCCCCAACCCAGATTTCCAGTCTACCATTTATAGCTAGGTTTCATGTTCTCCATGCCGCAGTGAAGCTGGTCACACACACACATGATCATGTGTGACATGTATTCCACACACACACTGCTGCTACTTCTACTTGGAGGAGTACCTTTCCCTCCCAGGTGTCTGACACCCCCTTCCCTGTTCCTTGTTGGCACCTTAACTTCCCAGACAGAGCCAAGACCTCCCCTCCTCCCTGCTCTGCTATCCTTTGCTTCCACTCCCTGACTATTGCTCTGGTCATATGGGCAGAGTCTGACTTATCACAGAGCAAACCAATGTCTCGTTAAACTGTAAATGCTGGGCTGTCTCCTCTTTGATTGTATGTATAGAAGGAATATCTGAGTGGCCAATGACAGTTTCTCACACCAAGTAAAGATGCCTCGGGGGTACTCTCCTGCTAGAGACCTCTGGGTTTTTCAATGCCTAAATTACCTGAAACCATCCAACTCTTCACCACCTGGAGAGAAATACATTCTCTCAAGAAATACAGCCTTGAGAGAAATACATTTGCTGCTGTTCATCATTTGCCAGCAGGTGGCGCTGGTTCATCTCTAACCAAATTCCAGCTCTGATTTGGGAGGGTTTCTGAGTATCCAGCAATGTTTCCACCACTCCGTCTACAGGCCAGTCATCCCATTAAGCACACTGAGGAGCAATAAAGTTCATCCCCTTCCCACTGATACCTTGCACTCCATCGATTCTTAGACTTTCTTACAAAATAAAATTCTCCAATAAAATGTAGTTACAAAGTAAATCCTGTTTCTGCAAAAGAACTACGGAATTCAGTGGGACACACATGCACACAAATACACATACATACACAGGTCATGAAAGGAGAACAGGAACTTGGGAAGAAGAACTTCAGCCAGGGAAGGGGGGGGGACATAGAAGAGGACAGTAGAGGATAAAATGAAAAATACAATTAATTATATGCACATATGCGAGTGTCAGAGAATTGAAAAAGTAGAATCACGACAACCTTCCTACAGTCTGGGACTCTGCGGCAAGGGATGGAGGTAAGCAGTACGTCCCTTGGGAACTGTGTCTGATGAAGTTATTAACAGTTCTGCCCTCCAAACTTCTGACTTAAACCACTACAGTCACCAGAGGTGACAAAATTGTCCAAGACAAACGTCCCAGGGACCGAGGCCATGATGTTCAGTACTACCAAGTAGAGGCTGCCATTGAACCCTGTCCCGTTTGGTAATCTCATCCAAGGGCTGCAATTCCCTCAGAAACGTTAAGGCATCCCCACTTCTTTGTGTCTACTTGTCACTGTGAGTATGTGTGAGCATCTCCTTTCCTATCCCTGGATGCTGTGAGGAGGCTGCTCTGTGAGCCTCACTGCTATAACTGCTGATAAACCCCTAGCCACACTTTTTATCTCAGTTTTTTCGTGGAGAGCACAAGGTGCATTTCAGCCTTCAGTTCCTGGCAAGGGATGCCTTAACCCCCTGGAAACTCCCTAGAGATGGGAGGGTGTGCAGCTTTTATCACGAAATTCTATGTAACAAACTCATGAAGTGGCTTTTGCTGGCCCCTAGCCAGCCACAGGGTAGAGGATGCTTTCAGAAAATCAAATCAAATCAAAACAGACAACTACAGCAACAACAAAAACAGCTCAAGTCTGGGAAGTGAGAACTGTACCCAGATCTCAAGGAAAGAAGTGCTGGGGATTGAGGCCCAGGACCTAATCATGTCTCTTTACTGGAGTCTCCATACATGGAAAAATTAGTACTGTCATTTATATAAAGCAAATTTTCATGAAAAATTGTAAATTTTGGCAGAAATTCAGATTTCTCCAGGCCTAGCTCTATTTGAGATAAAACTCGTCCATAGTTGTATCGTCTTCTAGGGACTGCATTCTGATAACACTCTGGTTTGACTTGCCTAGCCATGTAAGAGTGTGAGACCAAGCTCTGCCAACTCAGTGAAAAAAAGGACCCCTTTGCATTAGGAATAAAAACCCAGTAGACCTCACTGGGTGTGGATATGTACCTGCTGGACATGACCATATACGTCCTTGTTGAAGTGAAATGTTTTGCCTTACTGGAGTAAGGTAACTACACGATCATTTTCTTGGGGCTCTAGATCTGCTTCTAAGAAACCTTCAAAGTTGGAAGGTTAAGAGCTCCCAGACTGCTGAATGTACCTACCTGCCTGAAGTTGGTACAGGTAAACTCAAGAAAGAGAAACTCCACTCTTGGCCTCCTTTTCAGACTTTGACCTATGTATCCTTCATCTAGATGTTAACCAATGCCCTTTTGTAATGTCCTTTGTAAAGTCCTTTATGGTAGCCTGGTAATGATTAAAAAAAAATACTTCCCGAGTTCTCTAAGTCATTAAATGAAATTATCTAAATTGAAAAGTTAGGGTTGCCACATCTATTTGGTAGCTGACTGGTCAAAGAAGGAGAGTCCCAGAAATGGTATCTGAGGAGTGACAAGGTTGTAAGGCTGGCTCTTAACCTGTGGGACCTGCTTCTGACTCTAGGTAGACACGGCTAGAATTAAACTGCATGCATGGTTGGGCATGCAGTTAGCATAAAAGAATCGATGGAGATAAGACAATTCCTCACGCATAGATGTTGGAAGTTCTTCTACATGGGCCCCAAAGGATGTGCCCTCCTCCTATTCCATGACTCCTAGTGACTTGGAGAATTCATCCTGGCACCATGGTTAATGGGGAAGTAAGGCCTCTTGATCATTAGTCTCAGTTCCCTCCCTGGGATTTCAGACAACCTCCCCCTTGCAGAGATCACACTTCTCCCTCTTGTAGCCTTGCACCAAGGATCCTCCCACTTCAGATCTCCATCACTGCCCTAGTGCAAAAGCACAAGGCTTTGCTGTTAATTCTTTCACTTCTTGATTTCAAAGCATCTTAGTTAGAGCCCACTAAGATTTTCCTCCTGAAAAGAATTACTGGCACTACTTGGGATCCTGCCACCACGTACAGCATCTCTGTCCAGATATTATTTCATTCATGGGCTATTCATCAGTGACAGTCCAAGAGTGAATAGACTCCTCCCCTCACCTTGTGCTCCAGGGGAAGGGGTCATCTCTAAGTCCCCAGGGTTGATGCAGGTGCTCAAAAGTCTTGGAAATTTTAAAATGCTGACTGAAATTCATTCAAAATTTACTTGGTCAACAGGTGCCATAGTTCCTAGGGAGACTTTCATGAAGATGCCAAAGAGAGGAGGGAGGGAGTTGACTGTTTGACAACACTGCCTTCCAAAAACCCATACAGCACTAGAAACTACTCAGCAAAGGAGGAAAAGCCAAGCCAGGGCACCGCAGTGATTGTGGCAAAAACAACCCTGACGTTACCATTGCCTGCATCCTCTGTCATCCACCAGGTCCGATGGGCAGAGCTCAAAAACTCTACCTTTATTCTTCTCAACAGTTTTGTTTCTTACATTCTCTTTGGGCTGGAGAGTGAAAGACTCTGCCACATGGTGACTGGTGGTTCTGCCAGTCCCTGATAAAATAGCTCACCTTTGTGAGCTGGTCCCTAATCCCTCCTCCCCAAAAATGTTCTGCTGATTAAAAGAGGAAGTTTCATGTAGTGTACATTAAACAGTAGCTGATAACCGGCAGGCATGTGCCTGCTTTAAGCTATAAGAAAGAGATCCAAAATCAGATGCATTTTTTTCTTTGCCTTTGTCTGTGGTGTTTATGTGTTTGCACATGTATAGTTAGGTGAATGTGTGTGTTTATGCTTTTGGATACCCAAATATCACAGTGGGTATCTTTCTCAGTGTCTCTCACCTTATTTCTTAAGACGGGGTCTCTTGCTGAACACTGAGTGTTCTGACTAGTTTAGCTGGTCTGCTTGCCCCTGGGATGCTGTATTACAGGCAGCCACCAAGTCTGGCTCCCCTATTCTTTCATATGAGTCTGGAGATCTGCAGTGTGGTCTTCCTGCTTGGCCAGCAAGCACCTTATGCTCTGAGCCGTCTCCTCAGCCCCTGTTTCTGCTTCATACGTAAGAAAACCAAAATTGATAAAGACTGAAACAACTTGTCAACACTGTGGCACAAAGGTCTGTTTTGGGACCAACTCCCAGCACTGAATAGCTCTGTCACTCACCAGGTCAGAGGAATATTAAATTCCTCTCCTTTGGAAAGGACGGTGGTCCTAGCCTACATTAGTGAAGTATGGCTGTCCCACTCTACAGAGTGGTCCGGGGAAACTCAGTCACAGCAGGTGACTCAAGAGAAGCACATGCATTCTGCACCCACTCTCCAAGGGCACAACTTTTGTTTGCCTTACAAAGTTGGAACCAAGTCCCCAACATGAAATTACTATTTTTTTTTTCCTATTGCAAGTTTGTCAAGTCATTTTCCTTTAGCCAGCTTAAGCCTAAGCACCAAGACTAAAATAGTCTTCCTTTTGAAACCCAGGGAAACCCTGAAGACATCCTCTTGATTCCCAGGTTGTAGGTTAGTGTTCACTGCTTGAGTGATAACAGAAGTCACGGTGGTAAACAGTAAGGTAACACGCTCATCACTAGCTTTGCTCCAGACAGTGCCCTGACCTATGTTTTTAGGGACCCGGAGATAGCTTTGTCTTGCTTAAATGGGTTGAAGCCATTAATCCTTTCAATGAGCATGCACAGTGTTGGATGCATGACCTGTTGGCATCTGCAGACTCCACCTGCATACAGTGCTAAGGCCGCCATTTTTGAACCTGCTGCCCGTGAACAACTGCAAAGTCTCTTGCACGTCTTCAAAGCACGATTAGTTTTCTTCCCTGCCAATCTTACTTCCCAGCATGGCCTCAGACACCCCCTTCGTTTACACCACAGAAGCCCTTCAGGCCTTTCCTCAGGGAGGTAGAGTTGAGGTCAGACCCACCCCCACATTTCAGTACCTGTGAAATCACTTTTTCTCATTGGGAAAAATTGTGGCTTCAGTGACCGGCATGCTGTGTGGCAGACAGGACTAGCTTGGTCCGGTCCTATAAGCACTTCCATAAGTTCGGGCGCAGGGTCAGCACAGTAATTACCTGTAACTCTGAGCACAGCTGAGAAAGGGTCTCTTCAACAGCAAGGGCCTCTAGGAAGGAAGAACAAAGACCACACAATTAAACAGACCCCATTTAAATGCTGCACTTTCTAACTAAAGGAAAAGGCCTACATTTCATGTTCTACATGGTGAAGTCAGAGAGAAACATAGGCAACTCCAGAGGACTCTGCTAATCAGAATTTGAAGAGAATCAACCTCATTTGACACCGTGGATTGAATGCAAGAGGAAACCGACTGCGGACTACCGAGTGGAATTATAATTATAATAGACCCCTAAGAGTGCCTACTACTTTGCGTGCCCTAAATTAGTCTACATTTATTTATGCTTTTCCAAATGCATACACACACATGTTCATGCACACCATACCCACCTACCTACCCACAGAGAGAGAGAGACAGAGACAGAGACAGAGAAAGACAGAAAGAGAAGACAGAAAGAGAGAAGCTCTCACAAACATATATTTTGCAACAGAGAATATGGGTCTGTGTCTCCATCATGCATCTGAAAAGTCAGACGCCCAAGGAAGAGGAGTGACATATCTGAGTGGACTCCAGGCTCCAGGGACCATGAGACTAATGAGCACAATAACCATCCAAGCCACCCACAGTGCGGCCCACAATGCAACAGCTTGTCAGCCTGTACAAATGGCCTCCAGCTATTTGTGATTTAATGGTCAGGGTTTTGACAGGGTTTGAACTCTCTCTTAGCTCCTCAATGCCAAAGTGCTGTCACTTGCGTGTCGCTGTACTGTCTAGGGCAACTTGAGTAACCCCTTCGCACCTCTGTGTCCTGTTGACCTTCCTACCTGACTGATGACCTCAGATCCATGCATGGCCCACCAGTACAATAGACTTTATTTCTCTTGAACAAGACAACAGTCTAAGTATCCAGCACAACACCCCATGTGCAGAAGATGCTCAACAAAAATATGTTGAAAAACATTTGAGAGAATAAATCACTCTGGTTCTTTTAGGTAACAGAAATTTCTATTGCTAACTGCTACTGAAGAAAATCGAGTTTCTTTTGAGGCTCATAAGGAGCTCTGATTCTGCACTGTCCTTTTGCTTTGTTTTTGTGGAACTGGTGGCCCAACGTAAGGATTAACATATGCAAAGCAAGTCCTCTACTGAAGAGTCACAGCCCGAGTCTCCTGTGTCTGTCTGTACAGCCTGCACAAGACTGCCTTCTGAAAGCATCCCCGTCAGAGGATGCTTGATTCAAAGCCCTTGGCACTGGCTTGACCAGACATCGTGGCTGATGAAACTAGGTAACAAGAGTCTCTGAAATCCAATGCAAGCACTACAAATACTCCTTTGCTTTGTAGACTAGAGAGAGAGTCTAAGGAATCTAAGGGGGAACCGAGCTATCACCAACTCCATAGTCTGATGATAAAGAGAAACTTGCAAATATATCGTTGTCATGCAGCCTGCTCATAAAACACAGGCCACAGACACAAATGATATGGTTCTCACAGAAGTTGGTATCCAGCGGGACAGACAATGAAGGAAGCACCACTGGGAGTCTGACATTGAAATATGCATTATCCTTGAATCCTAGGGTCTGCATTGAGCCTCTGATCCAAAGGATTTGGGGCAGAACCATAGTACATAGTGTGCTATAAAGGAGGGTGAGGACTGAAGCACCCTACTCCGGGCAGTCAATGCAGGATCTCAGGGCTTCTGTCATGGCTACATATTACTGTGCTTTATGGCTTTCAGTAGTCTTTTTACATCCCATGTTTGACTTCTCCTATTACCTATCGAGAGGTAATTAGGCTCACTAATCTCCACTATGTTCAGTTTGGGAAAAAAATCTACTTTTTCACCATAACCAAATAGGGTATGTAACAGCAGGCTTCTAAAACCCTACAGAGGATACACCATGAGATAGTTAGATACACACAAATATAATAGATATGAATGGCTATATGTGTTAATATATATGTATGCACAATTATTTTCTACAGATATAGTGCTATTCTGTAAGGCTGTTATAGCAGTTTATAAGTTGTAATTCTATAATTGCATCCTAATTATAAAAATCTTTAACCTCACATATCATTCTAGAAAATGTGTATGTGTGTGTGTTTGCATGCATATTTGTGTGTGTGTGCACGCACGTGCACACACGTACACACTAACCAGTGATAGTTGATCATCTGAAACAAACTGAAGGACTCAAAAGGCTTTCCCTTCCCCTTGCCCTTCTTTCCCCTTCCCCTTGGCTTGATTAAACAGTCACTTCATATCATGAAGATGAGCTCCCACCAATGAGGTGAGACTCAGTCACCACCTATTTTAGGGATGATAGACAGGAGCTGTGGTGGCTCTGGTATATTTCTAGCCCAGTGTTGGTTCTGACACATCCTTTTTCCAAAAAGAATTGCCTTTATGAGATGCTTTGGCTTTGTTCATCTGTCCCTTTGTATAATACCCAGATTATTGCTAATAAAACAAATTATTGGACAGGGTTGTTATGGGTGTTCAAGAAATATCCGATGCATAAAGGTGTGTGTGGGTGTCTTGGGGCACTCATATGTTTTCTCGCTGCCTTGTCCTTGCAAAGCGTCTCTCTTAATACAGTGAGGGAGAGCCCAGAAATGCTTATATGACCAATCCCGTTTTCACCAGGACCTCTGCAAAAGCATACCACCTTTTCTCTATCCACACTCCAACACAGAAAGTCAGCTCTGGACCTGAGACTTTCTGGTCCTACTCCCTTACCCAGCTCCATGGTGGGCAGCTCAGGAATGTCTCTCATGATGACCAGGAAATAGAGTCGGAGGCCCTGATAGGCATGAAGCAGCAGCAGACAGAGGTCCCGGTGCCTCTTGTGTGCATGCTGTATGCAGTTCTCTGAGGGGACGTAGAAGCTTCCCTGAAGAGACAGGAGAAACAGAGCTGAGGAATCGATACTCACCCTGGCTTCACAGAGCTCCTCTCCTCCACTCACCATTCAGGGACTTTTGGAGGCTTCATGACAGCAGGTCTGGTTCTTAGACACTATGACGACTTCACAAAGAAAGCTGACTGAGTCCTAATCTCTTTTGTATCCATGCCAAGTAGGAAAGCCACAGGCATGCCATGCCTCTGCATCATCATGTTCACATTAATATAATCATAGTTATAATATTAAATACAGTGGTAGAAGATGATGATTAAGAAGCAGCTGAGGCTGACAAGGCCCACATCAAGGTTTGTGATTCCTGACTGTTGCCCTCTTAGAAGTCACTGTCTTGACTCCCAGAGGATGCACTGCAGAAGGGGCTGGGGGACAGAAGAAGAGAAATCCTTTGTGTGTGCAGCGAGGAGGATGAGGAAGACTGTTAGAACAGATGGGTGAGCAGCAGTCTGCGCTACAAAGGGAGAATAAAACTTACATAAATTCACAATTTATTTACAATTTTAAAATTGTAAATGTGAAGTCGGGTCCTCAGAGCTGATGTGCTCAGTGAGAGCTCTGAGTCTGAGCAGTTTCAAAGGCTCTGCACAGTGGAATCTTTAAGGATTTAGAATTGGTAGAGAGCTATCTTGATTTGTGCAACAACAAGGAACTGCCTAAGTCCACAGTCAGTTCAGTGTAGAGGAAAAGTAGAAACAAGACAGTTTTGTTTATCTTTAATGACACAATATGTCTCTCTTTCTAACCTAAGAGAAAGATATTCCACAGGGTAGAGTAGATACAGAGATGAAATTGGAAATTACGGAGATAATATAGACAATTCCAAGAATAGTAAGTTCTTTTCTAAAAACTTAAATTGTAAAAGGTTGACAAAAAGCACTTCAAGTAATTTGAGTGATATTTTACAAAGAGTATTAAGAATGCCATATAGACAATGAAATGCATTGTATAAAACTATAATAGAAATGAAGAATCAAACAGAATGATGTCTTAGTTACTCAGTGCAGACTGGCTCAGTCTATGGGGTGACAATGAGATAAAGAGAGGGTGAAAGTGACGAGACTGGCTCAGGATGAGGGGTCCCTCCCCAAGAGTCGATATTCTGCCCTAAGTCATGTCTGTTTTAAAACCTCAGGTGAACCCTTGTTCTTACTGTACTGGTTTAACTCTGGTATATACTTGTGAAAAGTTACCTCTCATCATGGAAAGAGCTGACAGAAAGCTAAGTAGATGAATATTAACATTAACTCCACAGAAAAAAAAAATGTGTTCCAGTCATTGCTTGCCAAGAATAAATGTTACATGTTCTTAATTACAGTTCTTAAATGTTAATAGGATATCAATATAATAAAATATAGTTAAGCTCTGAGGATCACTTGTTTGTTTTTGTTCGTTACCTCTCATAATATATTCCGATTGAACACAAAGTAGCCGGTATAGCTGTAGAAAGACCAGCAGAGCTTGTGTACACCAGGGAGTATGTTAGCTTTTGCAGACTTACAGAGCATAGGAAATTCTGTCTAATGAACCCCAAAGACAACTCCATTGTGTTGATCTCATTTGATATCTGACAAGTTTTGTGGAAGATAGGTACTCTTCATTTCTCTTTTCAAAGTTGAATACAGATTTGGAAAGAAGAAAAAAAAATTTAGTACCACCAAACATAATGTGCAATTCACCGGTGTCCAGTAAAATCATTGTAGACCTTTCTACAAAACATCCCAACACATATATGCATATATACACAGGTTTGTGTATTACTAGATATATAGACATATACAGATATGCCCATAAAGTGGAAGAATGATCTTAATATTTTTGGGTTTTCTTCTACAACAATGTGACATGGAATTTATTTGGGATCAGACAAAAGGCCAAGTCACAGGAACACCTCTTTCCACTCCATAGATCAAAAGACTGGGACTCAAAGAATTAAAGGCCCCAGACAAGACAAAGTCACCCCATTTTCCAGTAGCAGAAATGGCTCTTTGAGTCTATCGTGAAACAAAGGCTCTCTGTCTGGGTGCACACTCAGAGAAATTATGTAGGGAGAAAGAGAGGGGGGAGAGAGAGAATTGCACCTGTCAGAGACAGAGAACAGATGCTCAACCGAAGTCTGCTTGTCTTGACAGAGGCATCAACACACAAGTCCCACGGTGTCTTCATTTGCTGTGACTAAGCAACAGTAAACGCAGAAAGGGAGTATAAAAGACATCAGATCCAGTAGTCACGATGATGTTCTGGCAGTCCTGAGATTCCATTTTTCTGCCCTTCCTCCTTCTCAAAATTCCATCCTCTTACTACCATGGCCTTTTTTGGAAAAGCAACCCAGAAGCTAATGAAAAGGGTAAAGAATCCTTAAGATCTGCCAAGTTTAACTTCCATTTTACATAATTAATTCTTGATAACATGGCATATGCAATATGCTATGATCACATTCTCACGCCCACCCTGCTACTCTCTCACATCGCCTCTCACCCACCACCAGTCCCTTCCCAGGTAGTCCTCCTCCTCCCCTTCCTCCTGCCATCCTCTTTTCCTTTTGTTATTGTTGTTGGTGGTGGTGGTGTTGCTGCTGCTGGTGGTGGTGATGAGTGTGGTAGGTCTTTTTGCTTTTGTTTGTGGTTTGATTGGTTGTTTTTGCAAACTTCATACAGGTAGTTATGACTACTGCATTGACATCTTGACAGGAAATGTAATATCTATGTCAAAGAACATTTCAGAAGAGGGAGCAGGAGAGACTTTGGGAACTCAAGGAAGGGGAAGAATGTGACAGTCTCTGTTTTGTAAGTTTGGATTTTAAAATGGGTCTCAGTGTCATATGGATGATGAATATCTTGCATATCACCTTAGAACCTTCATCTGGCGATGGATCGAGATAGAGACAGAGACCCAAATTGGAGCACCAGACTGAGCTCTTAAGATCCAAATGAGGAATTTCTATTTTTTTTTAATTTATTTATTTATTAAGGATTTCTGCCTCCTCCCCGCAAAAAAAAAAAGAAATAAACCAAGAAAGCAATGTAAAAGACAAAAAAAAAATAGGCTTTCTTAATTCATAGCATTTTAATACAGCTTAAACATCCACTTTTGTGCTCATATTTTATTTTTCATTTAGCTGTGAGCCTAGTACTTAATTGTTGAGCAATCCCTCCAGCCAACCCTTCTACATTTTGGAAAACACATTTGCAAACTTTTTAAAATAACTGACAGCCAAAAAAATGATTTATCAATTAAAAACATTTCCATTTTCCTTAAAAAAAAAAAAGATCCAAATGAGGAGCAGAAGGAGGGAGAACAGGAGCAAGGAAGTCAGGACCACAAGGGGCGCACCCACCCACTGTGACAGTGGAACTGATCTATTGGGAGCTCACCAAGGCCAGCGGAACTGGGACTGAATAAGCATGGGATGAAACCGGACTTTCTGAACGTGGCAGACAATGAAGGCTGATGAGAAGCCAAGGACAATGGCACTAGGTTTCGATCCTAATACATAAACTGGCTTTGTGGGAGCCTAGCCTGTTTGGATGCTCACCTTCCTGGTCCTGGATAGAAGTGGGAGGACCTTGGACTTCTCACAGGGCAGGGAATCTGGACTGCTCTTCATTCTCGAGAGGGAGGAAGAATGGAGTGGGGGGGAGGCGGAGAGGAGTAGGGGAGTGGGGGGAGGGGACGATGTGTGCGAGGAGGGGGAGGGAAATGGGAAACGGGTAGAAGGTGAAAAAATTTTTTTTGCAACAACTAAGAAAAATAAAATAAACAAAAAAAAGAATAACAAAAAATGGTAAATCTTCATTAGGTTGGTTCATTGTCAGTATGGAGGTAGGTAAGGAGTCTAAATGCTAATCTAAGCAGCTATACTGAAAACTGGCTGGAGAGCATTATTTTAAAGACTACATCCCATTGGCCATAAATTACATAAGGGTGTAGCTTTCTGAAATTGGACAATATAATGTATAAAATCACACAGCTGCCCTGCAGGCCTGCAGAATGCATGCATATGCAGAAAAACCAGTATCTTCCACCAGACCTTCATGAAGTACCGCAAAGTGTAAGGAAACACACTTAGAAGTCAGCTTTTCTAAGTCTGGAAGGAGATACGTACACAGAGAGAGAGGAATCCACCAGGGAAGGCACATTGCCAGTCAATATATTAACCCACAAATGGTGGCATTCCGTGGACTGGACTCCATCTACAGGACTTCATCTACACAACAAAAGACAGCTGCCTCTTCCTTTCTATAGATGAATCAAATCCTATGTAAGTAGAAAAATATTGATACAGGTGGATAGAAGTGAAATGGAGTCCTTGGTCAAGACAACAGAGAAAAGAGTTTTGATGTCTGAATTTTTGGGTTGATTCTTTGCTACTGTCACCTTGAACAGAATTTCCTCCACCTCAGTACTGCAGATGCATCGTCAACAAAGTGGGACCACTCACAATACAGGCATCAGAGATAGGACCACCACTAGAAAGCAAATGAGGACATTCAGGTAAAATGTTGAGTCGGTGCCTGCTGAAAGGCACTTGTGCACACTCAGAGACACAGTCCTTGATGGATGCGTGAACATGCCCACAAATAATTCAGCCTAACAATCAACACACTAAAAACTGATCAACTAAGAGTGACTTAACTGGTCTCCATTGGTAACCTGTAGACATGTGCTACTTTCAACACAGATCCTGGATTCAAATAGATCTCTGCTTGTGGATTAGAACCTCATTAGCCATGTTATGGTAAGTTTGCCCACTAATATCAGAAGAGCAAATTTCCCGATGTAGGAAGTGGGGATAGTAACAACGTGTGATTTATAGTTAACTGACCAGATGTGAGTTAAGTTTACTTTGTATGACATTGATTACCTACCGGTATAAACGTAAGTTAAACATAATTTTGTGTGCTCTGGATACTACCTGTGGATACACACCTCTCAAATGTATACTGCTCCCTCTGAATATAGCGTTGGACTCCAGA